ACCTGGCAAGGTGCCAACTACACCTTTATTTTCAAGGTGGCCTGAACAGAGTGTTTTAGGGCAGCAAACCCTGGTCTCAGGCCACCTTGAATTTAGCTTGAAAACCACAGCTTTGAAGCCTCATGCGCGCCATACCCGGGAACAGAACTGTAGCTACTTGTAGCTACCCTGGGTCCGTATAAATACTATGTTGCTATACCTCTTACACACCTATACAAATTCAAAGCACGAATGAGACTTCAAAGCTGTGGATTGCTGTGCGTGTGTAGAGGTTCTCAAGCGGTTGACGGAAAGGCAACTTGAAGTACTATACCTGGTAGCTGCACTATGGCTACCCTAGGTCTCTAGACTCTATACCTTGCAAGGTGCCAACTACACCTTTCCATTCAGATGATGCAAATGATGCATTTGGCATTTCTTGCATCACCACCCCTCAAAAATCACCTCCAACACAACCTCAAAAACCTTCCCTCGAAGCACCCTCCTCCCCCAGCATGTGCCGAGTTGACGTATACCTTTCTCGGGCCACCCCCCCAGACCCCCTAACTACTCACTTCGTTCGCCAGACACAACTCCGCTAGCGCCTTCTACGAAGGCTGGCTTTCGTAACAAAGACTTGCCTTGTCTCACCTAGATTTGTCATCTTGTACTGGACGACACCTCCGTCCACTAACCCTTTCTGTATGCATGGGGAGGAGGCGCTGCGCCCTCCCCCACACCCCCTCCCGCTGTTTTAAGGCGCACCCCCTCTCCGTGTTGCGCACGCCTGTAGACACCTACCCCTCCGAAACTGCAGCTGTCAAGCTCCTCGCGCGCCTGTAGTCCAGACTTTTCAAAAACCAACCGCCACCCCACCAACAACCCACCAACAACCCACCAACCACTCGACCTATCAACGACGGCCCACATCCACAACAACAACTCTTTCTTTCTTTCTCTTACGCTGAGGAGGTCTCGCGCCATCTTCGGTCTTCGCGACCGGACCGGGGGATCTGTGGCTTCTGTGGCTTCTATAGCTAGTAGCTCGAAACTCGAAAACTGCATTCCCGGACGGCCGATTGCGACAAAAATCCAAGGGAAGCAGCAAAAGGTATGAGACATCATTCATCAGGTGTGCTTTCACCCTGGTAGCGGAGCTCAGGCCACTCAGGCGCACATCTGCCAGCCATCAGCCATAGAGACAGCGCCCAGCGCTATCGTCCAAAACCGTCCGCAAAACCAGGCTCAGCGCTCCGCTGCAGGGTGGGGCAGCGTCCTCCGCTGCAGGGTCACCATCATCTGCATGGAGCGGCTGTTCATTCGTCCAATCCTGAGTCAGGACCTGAGTGGGAATCGAAGGGCACACCTTAGTGGAATCACCTTGGTCAGAAACATGGTCAGAATCTGACCGATCAGGAATCTGATCCGTGGCCTCGGGTGGCAAAGCAGCAATCGTGGGGAGCATCCAAAAGAGAACCGTTCTCTCAAGACACCAGTCAGGGAGGTGCTCAGTGAACTGTGGGACTTCGTTGTCCTGGCATATGTACCAGCCTTCCGAGCCTTTCAACACAGCACGGAAGCGTCCAGCTAAGCTCGAACCGGTGTGGCAAACAATGGCTTGGATCCTATACAAAGAGCACTGGAGGTCTAAGCCATCATCATAGAAGTGTGGCAGCTCGGTCAACTGGTTGACTTCGATCGGCTGAAAGTGGCCTAAGTGGCGCGTGGGAGTCATCAGCCTATCTGCAAACACACACTTGATGCTCTGGCGCTGGGTGAACGCAGCTCTTATG